TTTTCATGATCATGCATGTGTTGAAGAAGGCCTGAAGGATATTTGGCATCTTTGCACGTGGCTCATGACAGTAAAACGTGAAGCCCATCTCAGCCATTACTATATTCTATAAATAGAGATTTCGAAAAATTCCGCCTAGTGGAAAACTGGCTTTAAAAAACAGAACTTATCAGGAATGACATTGACTTCATCGATATTTCGAGAGAGGCGCCATGCAGGGTCCGCGCAGCGGGGTCGCGCGCGCCATACCAACAATTAAAAACACTCAAAACATCGAGAACGTCCTGTTTATAATTATTTATAGCGTTGCTATATAATTAATGCAGTTAGTAAAGCATTTTACCTCTGAATAGATTGAATTGAGGATTTTGCATAATACGGTTTGTTCCGCGAAATAAACCTTTATGACTTGGCCAGATTAAAGAATTTACACGCGCCAATTTCTTGGTCTGAACAGGTGCGATAGTCTCACTTCGATTGCCGGATGTGAACGAGTAAATTAGTGTAATTTATAGCCAGTTGAAATGAAATTGTTTCAAGACTCAAAACTTACTTATTCCTCAGCACCAATAAAAAAGGAAAATCGCAAAATTGAGTAAGAGACACTCTGTATCGATTTCTTTTTAGTTGCACTGACTACAATAACACGCGATCATGTGAACGATATTTAGTTTCACCGCATGGTAATGAAGGAATAATTATATATATATATAGACTTCCTGTGATTCAGTTGAAACTTATGCACCTATAATTTTCAGAATTTATACCTTAGACCTTTTAGACATTGTATATGCATGATTAATTACCAGCAGGATTGGTTAATCGAAGAAAGGTTTTATAAGGGAAATACCACTACTCGAAAGATAGTAGTAGTAGCCGACTGTAGTAGATGTAAAGTCCACGAACCTACTTTCTATAGCATGCGGGGTGACTTAGGAGTCTCTCTTAGCAGAAGTTCAGATTTAAGTTTGAATTTCTCAGCAACAAGTTCATACAGACACGCGTTAAATTTGCAATGCTTGGCAATTTTTTTTGCGGGTGGGTAGGGGGGTGAAGCTCATCCTCCCGCCTCTTACTGACACTGTTAACTACACACATGTTTGTTACTGTAACTTGTTGAAGTCGAGTTTGTTTTATTTCATTGCAACCCTGCATGTATGTTCGAGCATGTATGTTCGTGCATGTACGTCGACAGTTGATCGACACACCCTATTTTTATCAACAGAGGAAACGTGTGCGTGTCATGACAAATCTCATCTTGACCTAACCTTTTAATTTCCAGAATATGTAAAAGCCCTCAACTCGCATGTGGCAAATGCAAAGGCGATCAATGTTCGTGAAGCATTTTGAGTGCCTGTGTTCTTGCAAACACTGACTCTCCCATATTTGTTATAAGTACTATGGTTTAAATGTGAATAAAGAAGATATGAACAATTAATATATATTGAATGGCAAATTTTCTTTCCATTAATAACAATACAGGTTTTACTATAAACCTTTATCCAGCTGTTACATCAAAAAAAGTCAACATGACTATAGTTAAATGTATCATTCTTCAGAGTTCAGCCCCGCAATTTTATCTTGAAACTTTTGATGATGATACATGCAGACGCATTAAATGGCCTCTCTACCTCGAATTTACCGTGCCACCTAATTAAATAATACACATGTCATATTCATCCCTAAACTTTATTACCTCCCTTACTTAGCTTTATTAAACTTTACAGAATTCACAGACCATTCAACTTTAAGAAACGCGCATTAGACATAAAACTTTTCAAAAAAATTCAAAAACCTAATTTTATCAAGAAAAATGTCTTATAAGCATTAAAACGTTATAAGCATTTTTTTGGCGGGGTTTTATTGTTGCTATGAGGTAATATAAACATACAGACAAGGCACATGACATGTTGTTTTGAATTTCTAAAGAATGCGCGCATGGTCCTTTTGTTTATAGTGACATTTTCCTTCATTTTGGTATGTGGATATTTGTTCAATCTTTTGTATTGTGTTAGTTTAGAATTTTACTCTGTATAACTGATTTATAAAAATCACAGATATGACATATTTAGCATGCATGCATATCTAAATAAATATTTTACTATATGGCTGTATAATGTTGGCAATGTTGCATTACATTAGTTATTACATTTGCTTCATAATATTTCATACTTCAATTAATGTAGAACATTTTGAGTATTCAAACTGTCTATCTGTCTTGTACAAAATTATTGAAGACTTTTCAAAGTGAACTATTATTATCTTTAAAAAATCTTATAACTTCCTGTCCGTTAGAGCATCCGGCCGCCCACGCACAGACACAATGTACGAAGACTCGTCTGTGATCCGCGAAAATATCCAATTACTCGCGTGGTTTTACTTTCATATGTGACAATTTCTCTTTTATTTAGTCCAAAATAAAAAATCCTTGCTTTCAACGAAACACTTCATCCGGATTTCAAAAAGGAAGTCCGCGTGTGAGAGCCGTTTTCGGGGAAAAATTACAAAGCAGAGCGCGCGAAATTTACACCACTATTGAATCATACAACTTAAATTTCCCCCTTGACAAATTCTAATTTAATCGACGAAACGAGTCAGTTCAAAGTAGAATAAAAAAGGAAAGCCGTGCTAATAAAAAAGGAAATACGGTGAGAACTGTAGAGTAATTTGTCAAGGAAGTATAGCAAGTGACTAACACGGAACGTTTCTATGACTATGAAAATATACAAAGAAATATATTTGGCGATTCAATTTGATTAATTCGTATTCCAAACCACCTAAATGTGAAAAATAATCTTACCTAAGTCCCCGCTATGGATCTCGCGATTAGCAGAGGGAAAATTCGGCAACAGCTACAGTTCATAGTATATATTTTGCATGATTCCTTTGCCAAGCGTTGCAGGTCATGCATGCAAATTGACAATGCAAGACGTGCAGTAAATTCTATATGCTGTCTAGAAAACGTTGAAGACTTGTCGTAGCTCTTGAAAGCGTTACACTTACATTTGCACAATCTGTCTCCTTGCCCTGATTGCTGTCTTGCCGTATCGGCTGTGGCGTGGTTGCCATTTCAACTCCTGGAAACGCACAGATAAATCGTAGCAAACCCGCTACTCGCTAGCTCTTCACCTACAGGGAATGTAATCTGTCAAAAGTAAACCACTCAATTTTAACGCAGTAAACTGATTTAAGTGTAAAAGTAAACGCAGTAAACTGATTTGAGTGTAAAAGTAGCCAAACAAGGAAAAATTACCTCTTTATCTGACAGATATCCCTCGTGCCCGATTTGTAATGTGCGACTCAGTTTGAAGAAGCAAGCTGTTTATTAACTGACTCTGATCAACTGATTAGTTTTTGTAAACGTGGAATTCGTAAGTTCGCAAAACTGTTTCACACACTCTGAATCAAAGCGTCGCACGAGCACACTCAAGCACGACTGGTTTGTAATTATGAATACAAACATCGCCGGACGACTTCCTTTAAGTTACTACTTCCTCGTCGTACTTCGTCTCTTCATGGCACACTTTGTTTGCATTTACACGAATACTATAATTGATGCCAAGAAATGCCTAGAATGCAAACATGCGACCACGATTGTGTTAAACGTGAGCAGCGGTGAACCAGTCCCGAGTACTTTATATTGCTCAGCAAATTTCTTTGTTGTTGAACCATTCGCTGTTCCGTACCATACTTTCCCAGCGCAAATCATCCAAACTGAATACGGTCTTGGCAGCAATGGCCACACTAGCCAACCAGTGAACTCAAATAAGACTGGAACGCTCACTCTGTCGGACGTTTAAAGCCAAGATGGCGGACACTAAAGCCTTTCTTGTATGTATGATCCAGGCCTCCACGCGGAAATTTCGTAGGTAAAATGGCGGCAATTTTTTTTTTGCTTTTGAAATTTGCGCGCCAGAGGCCTGGATTATACCTACATATATATATATATATATATAAACGAAGAAATTCAATTTACAATAGACAATTTCAGCTTGTATGCAAATTAACCCATTTCAAGTCACATGGTCTGAAATGGTTAAGTTTTATTGGCTATTCCATGGTCACAACATCTGAAATGGATTGATTTGCATGCAAGCTGAAAAGGTCTATTCTTGTTTGAAACTCGTTGTTCCTTAAAATAAAAGTAATTATTTACGTTTTAATGCAGAAGTGACTCCTGAAGAATTCCCCTCCCCACTTTCTTTTCTCCTGGTTTGCTAATTTATTATTAGCATAAAATCACTGGACGCCGATTGAATGAGACTATGAGAGTAGCACAGTTATTCATTTATTCTATATCTTCTTGACACTGGCAAATACTGGCTAAGAGGAGTGCGATTTGAGCATTAATTACACAAGAGATATAATTAAGTCGAGTAATTAATGCGAAAATCATACTCATGGGTATCAAAGCACCTACCGCTGGGCATAATTGATTCTGTACACGCGTAAAAACGCTCAGGTTGATGCAATATTGATATGAACAAGATGGAGCAATGTTGTGCTGCCCACATTGTTCAGAGTTGTCATCAACATTGAACAATATTGTTGACACTGAATCGGGTGTAACAATAATGTTCAATGTTGATAACAGCTCTGAACAATGTGGGCAGCACAACATTGCTCCATCCTGTTCATATCAATATTGCATCAACCTGGGCGTTTTTAGGCCTGTAATCACTTGTATGATTTTCGCATTAATTAAACTTCTATTCGTTGTATTACCATTATGAATTATACTGGAGTGCCATACAAACAGTATCTGATTTTAGTCTGCCAAAACCACAAGGTGGAATTTTTGTCGTGACTTTCTCCGCGAGGTAATTCGAAGAGCCTGGGAACGAGGCTGACCCGTACTATTAATCCTAAATTGCACTCGCTATCGCATAATGACCTATATACTATAATTAAATTCTCATATTAATCAATTCTATATAACTGACCTATATCAATTATTAAATTCATATTAAACTTTCTTTTGATCATCCTGACCGGTCTGTTCAAAACTCGGTTATTACGTCGAAAGTGTTCTTCAATTCGTTCACGAAATCTCCCATTTCGGCCAGGACGACACTTTCATCTTGACCATTTCCTAGTTTCTGAATGAAATCTTTCCGATATGGAACGGCTTTCATCGCCAACTGAGCAAAAACAAATTATTACCGGGGGCTTGTATTGATTTATTATAAAATGAATTCACACCAGTAACATGCTGTTATTATTATCTATAAAATCCTTCAAAACTGTTATTTTAGCGACGATTTTTACGTGTTTATATTTTCCACTTCCTTGTCGTCCATTTTGAATCAAAGTTTACGACCGATTAGCAAGTTAAAGGCTGGTTACCCGAGATTCGACGAAGCGTGGGATATTAAAACAAGTCTTTATGAAGCAAAACAGGCATGCATGATGATGATGATGAAATAATTCATCAGGTAAGCCTACTCGCCGAAGCGATTTTCAGTAAGGACCTGGTACAATGAAGTATTGCAAAGAAGATATGAAAGTATTATAAAGACTAAAATTATATCTCAGTACATTTCTAGCCAATTCCAAAAAGTACGCCTAAAATCTCTAAAAATGTGTTTTAAAAGTAGCTAAAGAGTTACTATTTCGTACATCATTTTCTAGAGAGTTCCAATCAATAGCAACATGATAAACAACTCTCTGCTTTCCCCAAGGACATGCTATTGTTGGAAATACTCACTACACGACTACCAGGATCATGTTACACTGTATGTATACTCAATACCTCAAAGTTATCTCACGCTTCGTAGAATCTCCGCTAAGCGGGGTCCGCCGGGATCGTGTAAACAGCCCCTTCACCCCATTAGCCAGGTGGGTTAAATTTAAACCGCTGCATACTTGCCGGGATATGTGCAACCCAAATTAAGAGAGGTTTAAAATTTAACCCTGGATTAAGCATCCTCAACCTTGGGTTAGCGTTACCCGGCTTTTAACAACCAACCCAAGCAAGATATAAATCATGAAAACTAAACACTCACTGAGAAAATGCTCTGAACCATCCAGCCATGATATTTCTTTAGAGTTCCCTCGTAGGCTGCTTTAGCGCACTTTGTGAGATCCTGCTCACCAGTCAGAACCTCCTGAAGAAACACCAGAATGAAGGACAACGCCCTGGAGAGATATATGCAACATTAGAATCTGAGAGACTTGTTAATCAGTTATGGTCAATAAATATATAAAATTTTTTATCAAGTTGTAGCATCAAGCAGAAGTGAAGAATGTTGGGCTGCACGCCATGGACAGAATTGTGAACACTGTTGATCATGTTCAATAACCACTGGTAATAATGCCGACAGTGGCGTAGCCAGCACGATAATTGGGGGGGTCACATATTCATATTTTCGTGATACGCAGGATTAATTTCTTTTCAAATCAATTGTCTTTACAGTCTGTTAACATTAATATGTGAATATGCGCCCCCCCAATTATCGTTGCTGGCTACGCCACAAAATGCCGACCAAAGTATATACTATATACACCTTCGGCGCGTACTTCCCAAATGTTCACGAAAAATACACCTAACCTAAGAGACTGTTTTTTCCAGAAATATCAACTCCTACAATATTACCCTGTATACTGTTACGAAAAAAACTCCTATACTGTTTTTTAAATCACGTAGTGTAGTGAGGACTGTAAAGTTTTTGTCGGTTTGTTTTTCCATAAATATATCCGGACCGTATCATCAAGGGTCAATGTTAAATTAAAATAAACCCCAAACCATGTATTCTTTACCTCTTCAACCAAAGAAGTGCGTCGGTTGCGGAATTCTTCGCCTTTGTAGTGCCAGAATCAATCTCACTTTGAACTATATCTTGTAGAACCTTATATTTCTCCTGGTCTTCCTTGTATTTTTTTGTAAGTTTCTGCAATAGATAAACATCATACATGTATAAATGCGCGCCTGAAGGTCTAACATTGTCTTCCCACCTAAGATCGTAACTAAAACGATAATTGGCGGGGGTGGGGGGAGTGTTTATTCGTACATTTAGTTATGCCTGGCGGATTTTGTTTGTAAGCTATTGCACTTACGAAAGAAATCCGCCGGGCAGAACTGAATATTTGAATAAAACCTCCCGCACTATCGTTCTAGTTACGCACTGCTTCCATCCCATTGTTAATATTTGCTCCAATTAATAAATGGACCTTTTGCATAATAGACAAACTTAGGATGTACGTAACAAAGGAGGTAATAAAACACCATGCGCAGCTCCATTTAATTCCATTAAGGGTGGATTTCCACAGAATTTTGATAGAATAAATAAATCAGTTCAGCTTGAATGTTCTTATTTCAAAAGAAGATATGCAAATATTTCGTTAGCGGACCGTTTCTCTGCAATCCAGCCTTGAGGCTCATACACTCGATTTATTGGCACGGCACGGTTAAAATAGTACCCGTGCCCATCATCTGTGCTCGGCCTTTGTTTTGGTAGCCTGAACACTAATAAAATTGGGTATACGGGTACCGATTTAAGCCGTGTCGCGCGAATAAATTGACTGTAGTGTAAACGGGGCTTTCTTGTAAGGAGAAAAAACGCAAATTTCGCGATTATAAGGCGATACTCCAATTACGCCCGTTCCGAATGCGGGCGAAGTGCGCTTTGTTTTTCAGGCGTGTCATGGTCGCATCAGCAGATTTTCAAAGACTTCGTTTCGGGCAAAGCGATATTTTTTTCGATATATCGATATCGGGTTTTTTTAAATATCACACAGCTTACACTATAGATTGGAGATTTCAAACGTTGGTTCTCGATCAAACGAGCGATGGATTGTTCATATGTATATTATAGTTGCTGGTAACTTAAGCCGCGTTTACACTTCAACCTTGGACCAGGTCTAGGACAAGTCCAGGTAATATGTGCCACGTTCACACTGTCTTCCTTGTTGATGATATCGGATAGCCAAAGTAATTGACAAAATACTTGGAAGAAGACCAAAAACACACCGAAAAGTGGTAATACTATTTGGATCCTATACAAATCATACTATTAAGTTCAAAACTTGTCAGGACTAGGTTAAGCCTGTTCACATTACCAAAATCTAGCCTCAGGTCAGGTCCAGGCCACCTTCTGCTGAATGTTGGCCTGGATTTTGTGGTCAGGTCCAGGCCTGGTCTAGGTCAGATAAACAACGTTCATGTACATCTAGGCCTGGTCCAGGTCAAAGCACGTAGTATAAACGCGGTTTTACAGACTTCATACTGATTCCATATTCATTTACTTACCTCGATATTGCCATTGATATCAGATTTGACTGGAGCAAATGCTGTGGGTCCAAGAATATCTACAACAAAAATGATTTTTCATGTTGAAGTGCGTCTGATAAATTGGTCTTTTTTGAGACCTAATCACATTCATTTCAATCATTTGTTCCAAAGGCGGTCATGTTGACCGTAAAATGGCATAATTACATATAGTCAACCTGCGAAGAACGAACGAGTATAATGTTTGGCCTCGTTAGACAGAGTTTGAACAGGACTGGACGATTTTGGGAACGGTCTAAAATTGTCCTTTTCTGCCTGTTTTCACGAGACCCACGGCACCTGACGACGCCGTGAATCGACTAAAGGACCCTTCCACTTTAGAATAAATTTAAAACTAGGGCATTTATTAGTACAGTTGGGAAAATTGATTTTGAAGAACGTTTATTTGCAAAATATTAGTAGGTGTGAAAAATATTGCAATATAGGAGTTTTGTATATATACATATTACTCTAGCTCCGTTTAAACAACACACAATTTATCGGCACAGCATGTCTAAAATGGGTACCCGTAACAATTTAAAGCCTCGTTTACACTACACTCGATTTATTGGCACGGCACGGCAAAAATAGGTATATATACCCGTGCCCGTTTCATGCGTTCTCGGCTTTTGTTTTGGTAGCCAGAACACTAACATTAACTAAATTGGATACGGGTACCAATTTTAACCGTGCCGTGCCGATAAATTGAGTGTAGTGTAAACGAGGCTTAATTCATCTTCGCTATATTTGACACAGACATTGTTCGTGACTTACAGCGGCTTCCAGGGCTTGGTTGCACGAAAACTGGATAGTGCTATATATCCAGATGCCCAGATAATGTTTTTTTTTTCAATTCCTTTAAAATTGTCCGGTATATAACTTGGATCGAATCTTAACTAATCATACACTAGCTGAAGCTTCTCTTCACTTATTTTTTAACAATTGTTACGTCAAAAACTGTAATGTTATTGTGTACCTAGGCCCCCTATGTTAGTGCTTTTACGTCCGTTGAAAATTTACCATTAAACGTTATTAAACCTCTGCACAACCGTCTCCAGAGTTCGTCAACCCATGCTTCTTGACGGTTTGTCGTGCAACCTACTGTCTCAAAATATATTCCATATTTAACAAGCTGTCGTGCATAACAGATTACGGTTAGCAATTTATTTTTGACACATTGGGAAACAGCAACTATCGTGTTTTCTAACTATGCATTCTAAGTATGCCTTTCGAGTTTCGTTACTTCCGTATGTCATATAACATGCAGAAAAAAGTGGGAAAATATGCAAGTATTATAATGATTACTGACGACAGAATTTACATTCTGCCAATGCTGATTCCGACAGCTACAGTGACTGAACTTCTGTCCATCCATTCGTCTATTCGTATAATTCATATTTGAAAATTTCCAAAGACACAGACACAGTGCATATTCGTTCGTTTTCGTGCTGCGGTACAGCCATAAAATGGCTAATACAAAGAACTAAAACAATTTGAAAATACGTTTTCACAAAACAGTTTCAGCGAAAGAAAAACTTGCATTCCGGGCAATTAAATTGAGAAACGATTTCGGTATTAAAAAGATCAAAAATTAAAACAACAGCGGCCTTTTCGAAACTTTCACGCAATGATTGAGATTAATACTTTCATATCCATGACTATGGTATCTGATATCGTAAAAGATCTGAAAAGCGTTAACGTTGTTAAGATTTTTCGGATTTATGAATAAACCCAAGGCAAGGGCTATATAATTGGATGAGAAGCTCTTATCGACATTCCACATATAGTAGTTTTAATGCATCAGCACTCACTTAGCTATGTGTCTGATAAAATAGTACAGACGAGTTTACGGCTTTATCTTTGTTTTGCCGCTCGCAGGCTCGGAAGAGACGACCAGTAAACCACCTCCCCCCCCCCTTAAGCTCAGGCCTTAGCAGTTGAATTTCACCTTGCACAAAAAAAATGTATAAATCGAGGGCCAAAACCGCTACCTGGTCCTGGTGTTTGAAAACGACTTTGAATTGAAGTCGAACAGTCTTCAATCGCCTTTTCACAGAGCTGCGCCTGTGGCATGGCTCAGTCCCATATACGAATATCCACCGCCAGAATTATAGCGCTTGTTACGGCCTTGTCGCCTTTAAATCTTACTCGTGCAGTAAAAACGTCACTCTTACAAATACTGAAATATACTACAAATGCTTTTCTGCATGATTCCACAGGCTGATGTTGACAACCAGCTGATATATTTGTGATATATTTGTCATATGTTTTTGCATCAGATTGGCAGTAGCATGTATATGTATATACATATAGCATGCCTCATTTTATAATATTTGGTAATCATTTTATGATATTTAGTAAAAATTTCATCTGCGCATCTAGTTTGTTGAGAAAAATTATCACTTATGATCTCTTATTATAAATTTATATTCTTGACTGTTTTTATTTCAGAATATGTGACAGGAAGACTAATTATTGCAGTTTTTCATTCATATGTTGAAAAAATTATATGAATTGCTAAAACTGAGAATAAAAACTTTTTGATCATTCTTGGGAGAGTCCCATATAGCCTACAGCACAATGATTTAACTTTTCACAATAACATTCATGTGTGGATATTTTTTTACTTTGGAGGGCAGAGCTTTCCCAATTTGTTCCTTTTAGTGGTTATGTCACTGTCACAGACATGTAAAATCACCTGGCAAAAGTCTGATTTGAATAGAGAAAAACACTAAAGATTGTTTTTTCCATTTATTATTAATAGCGTTGTTGCTGCTATCCAGCTTATCTTCATCTAATATATTCTCATATCAATGCTTTTGATACCACATAATTAAAGATTAATGGAAACCTAGATTAAATATTCACACATCTCTAGACTCTTTAAACAACAGTTGAATAGTCTAAAGGTATTCACAATTTACATGCAGTACCATTTTACGTACGTTGTAAACATTGTTCAAACCTGTTTCAATACTTTTTCAGATCATATTCAATGAAATTTATAGGAACACACTTTATTTAATGTCAGATTCAATGATCTTGAGCTATTACATACATTCCAAATTGTGAAGTGTGTTTACATCAAGCAAAATTGCATTGATACAAATTTGGCAAGATATTTGACTGCTGAAGAGTGCCATCAAGGCAACTTAGTCAACACTTACAATGTTGATTAAAAAGCAAAATGTGTTTTTTTTTCTTTTGTGTGAAATAGTTTTTCATGAACATAAGAGATTTTCACTGTGCAAGGATTCTTTGTTAACTTTCTACTATATTTTGTAAAGAGCCTATTTAATAGTGTGATGTTTTGAGAGAGAACTGAGCTTTGGTAACAAGTTATGTTTTTGACAAATAAATTTGTGTAAGGATGACTTCAATCTCTTAATATATTAAAAAATGTATATGTACTGAATTTAATAATTACTCCTGCTTGTTTGGAAAATTTGACATTTGTACAGTTGTTTGTACATTTGTACAAAAGAACTTCCTGATGACTACATTAATTTTTTTCGTAATTTTTGAAACTTGTATGGTAAATTATTCAGATTAAATCCTGAATTTGTAGGAACACAAAATGAATTTATTATTTGCAGAGCTTTTTAGTGTGTTAACCCTGGCCTACATCAGTGAAATGTATCAATTTATTACATCACCAATTTAATAGTAGACACACTATGCAGAGGCGATCTCACGATCTGCATATAATAATATGCTCTACAAATTGTCGAAATTGACGATTTAAATACATTTTTATACTTTCACATATAATTAAGACCTGACAAGCTGTATAGTCGACATTCGTATAAGCAAATATGAAATTATATATATTAGATATAAAATCTGTGCGATGCTGAAAAATATAAAAAATATATATATTGAATAGCGAACATACCAAAGAAAGGAACAATTTCTTGACATGCCTGAAGGAATGGCCATGTCTCAATTCTCTTGTCGTCTTGGATAGGTAGAAACCTATATTTTGCCTGTGTAAAGAACGTCGTCATTCTTGCAAATTATAACGTTTTGTTCTAAATGTTCTAACTTCTAAAAGTTGTTCTTTGACTACATTGAGCCTGCAATTTCGGCCACAGCCGTGTTAAGGAATTCATGTTAGACTTATCTTCCAGGCCTCCAGGATTTGATTGCTACAAATCCTATACAAATTGTTACAAATTAAAGTTATACCAATTGAGTAAAATATACAGGGTGTCCCAAAAAAACGAAAACTATTGAAATTACCCGTAGCAATGTAACTGTCAGAGTTCGAATGCCTAAGCACTCTGTTGGGACCCACAAGTGTGTAAATGTTTGCTATAAGCATTTTTATGCATGCATATGATGCAGTAAAATTTGCTCCTACGCGAAAATGATATTTATTAACAATATTTAAATGTGAATCTGAATCACCATGACCTTCGACATGTCTCCTTTCTCTAGCAACACAAAGCATCTAGCATTTCACTGAGTTGCATTAAATCCCCACGGGTTAAAATTCGTGCACACATAAAAGTATCCATCATTATATTAGAATCATTTTTATCAAGTTAGACTGGTAACAACTGACAAAAGCGTCTTTTTAACAGCTTTAAAATATTCACACAGCTGTAATCGAGATTACAAGTGTTGTTAATTTAATAGTAGGCTATCGCGAAAATATTCGTGCTAAAATCGCTATAAAAATAAGGAGAAGAATTTTTTTCAATCCATTTGGCTCAACGTTCGGAGTCCAGCGACCGTTTTTGCAAATCATGAGAGGTTTAATGAAATCAGAGCCATAATACGGTGTTAAATACTTCGAATAATCTCTAGGACACATGGAAGGTATTCCGAGGAAAGAGCACGACTTCAAAGGAAATAAAACTTCTCGTTTGTGAAATACGTTCCTATATTCGTCCCACAAGATATCACCGTGGTTTTCAATCATAAAAATATCCACGTATATCTTAGAATGAATGTATAGTCGGGCGTGCGGGTCAAGAATGGAGCAGTCATCTGTGATGGTTCTTACAATTTTACCATTACAGTCTTCCCGGGGGGTGTCTGCGGAAGGATGCGGTGAATGCCTTTGAAGAAGCAAGCGAATCTTTCCATCATTCAGGTCCAAGGGTCTTCTTGATTCTTCAGCGTAGAGTTTATGGTATTCGTCTCTCAGCATGCATATATCAGCATCTGTGTCCAGAGGTATCACATCGCCATTACGTAGGGAGCCCAGCATGGAACCAAAGCATATGAAAGACTTGCTGATGTTTCTTCGTTCTGCGATGAGATTCCATTCCTGGAGTAATATCTGAAGTCCTTCGCGGTACGGATTCTCCTCGCAACCTTCCCCGTAAAATTCATCCTGTAGACGAAGTGGATTCTCTTCTGAATGGATGGAGTGATTTTGCGTGTTTCCTAAAAGTTTTCTTTTCCAGGTAGATGGAAATCCCTTATATGGCGGAATCCTGCTGAGTACGAATGCCTCATCGTATAAATAGATGAAAGTTAGCGTTCCAAATGAAAAAATCACAAATATAAGGATACGCATTCTTCGAGGACCCATGGTACCTGTTCCTCAAGGATAAACAACCCTTATTATTACACCTGGCTATCGGATTTGTTTAATATATTCTTCAAATTTTTAGTCATTTAAGTACAAGGCACAAATATCCAATCGCGGAATTTCAGCTAAAGAATTTATATGCCTGTAAACAGAAAATCATTATATTAGCACAACAGATACTAGCGTACGAATAGCTGCTGGGTTTTCAAACAAACTCATATAAAACAAACAAATATACGTACATCACGTAAATTTTACACTAGGAGCACTTGCGTGCAGGAACCTGTTAAACAAAACTACACGGATTTTGCTTGAAGCAGAAATTTGCATAATTATTCACAACACAAATATATAGTGAAAGATGTTGGAACAGTATGTACTGTCACCTATACGACTTTGAAATACAATTTTGAAAATTCTGTTAGAGTTGTGTGCAGAAGAGTAAACCGACTTTTCTGAGCAAATTAAACCAAGCTAAATTACAAAAATATCAATCTCGAGCCGCCCGGCTAATAACAGGAGCAAAATTTGATAATAACAGGAGCAACATATGATATACGCATATAGCTGAAGTTTTCAAGACATTCGCTTGTACAAATCTAGACCAAAGGCGCCAATATTTGAAATCAACTTTTATGAAAAATTTTAAACAATCTCGCCGCACCTAATTTAAAAAAAATGTTTCTTAAGATTAGTGATTGTTCTATTTCAATGATTTGCGAAATGGTGATACAGACTTACGCCTGTAATCAAAAAGCTCACTCACACTTACACTAATTGAGTGTGGCATATAAATTTTGTTAATGCTGGTCAATGAGAAAATTTTCTCCCAAAAGATGGAAAGATGTAAGGTAAACCACTGAAAATCAAGCCCCTTTTCGGCTGGAAATTCCGCCATTGAATCGTTATGAGAAGATTAAGATCTCCCACTCAATGAGTTTGAATGTGAGTGAGCTTTTAGAATACAGGCGTTAGTGTTGCCAAAACCAAATACTGAATATATAAAAAGGAGCTTTTCATACGATGGCGCATCTCTTCGGAATAAACATATCTAGGGATGCAAAAATGGATTTCTGTCAGTTGCTCATTCAACTTTATAGGCCAGCAAAATTCGTTTAAAAAAGCATATATATATGTATATATTTTCCTATATACGGCCCGACTAAACCGGGTATATAATATATTTTTTTCACTGATTGCCGCCCCCCGTGCGTGCGTGCTTTTAAATCTCGCGCGGTCTGTACGGCTTCATACGGACCGCTCACGTAGCCAATAAGATTGCAGGAAACGCTAAAATATGAATTCGAACCGCAAGAAAAAATATATAATATGTAAATAGTTGTAAATTGTTAATGATTGTTATATTTATTATTTTTATGCACGCCCCCCATGCCAGCTTTTGCTGTTGGGGCTAGCTTGCTAAAACACAGTTTTATGTATGGTGTATGTATGTAAAAAAAAACTATGAGGGCCATGGCAGGCCATGCCATTCCCAAAGCTGCATTAAGCCGGTTTTCCAATCGAAGGAACCAGTTCTCGACCGAACAAAATTTTCCACTTGATTTTCTTTTCAATTGTGCATGAGAATTCGACCGTAGACTGATTCCCTTCACCGGTCACAATTGAAAAGAAAATCGGGCAAAAAATTTCGTTCGGTCGAAAAATTCCACAATTCGAAAAACACACCAGAAAAGTTTCCTCGGAACGAAAAACTTCCGCCTACGGCATGCGTAGCAGAACTTTTCAATTCCAATTCAAAAATATTTAGTTCCGTCGCGAGGAATTCGAAACAAAGTTTAAGTTATTTAAATTTCCACCGGAAAAAATCTCCGAAAACTCTCCTTTCCCATGCCGTTGCGATAAAACTTTTGCTCAGTGTAATAAAAGCAGCTGCTTTAGCAGACTAGCGGCTTTCTCAAAACAACACCCGGAAAATCTATTGCAGACCTTAGATTGACGTTTTCCTTCACCGCGAACCGCGACTTGACGTTCTGTTTTTTGCCTTCTTGTTTGTGGTCAACAGTTGCTGAGTTAGAAGTGTGTTTTTCACGTAACTCTGCGTGTTACCAGGGAAATTCTTCTTCATTAAAGTACCCCGCTACTTATTATTCCAATTTAGCTTGGGGGTAATTTTCTAACTTGATATCAATTATCACTGATTTTCTTGAAGAAAGCGAGTACATTTACTCGATAATGAGTTTGGTATTAGCGGTCAGGTATCACAGTTTGACATTCTCTCTATAAATAGTATAATATCCTTGTGTTCCTGCATGGTGTAAGAGAGAGTTGTTAATAAAAATACAAAGTCAAGGCAAGCGGAAGAATTCGAACAATCGACCTATTTGTAAGGAGGAGACTTGCGAAGCTTTTTGGCATAAAAGTATGCATGTAAATGCTTAAACCTCGGTTCTAATCTCTTACTGATATATTCCGCGCGACATCCGGAAGTGCATGTGAACAGAATGGCGGGAAGACCGAAGCGAAATGTGCGTCAGCCCCCAAACGTCTCGAAGACGGTTTGGAGTTTGCAGAGATTACCCCTTCGGTTAAACCGACTGTTTAAAAAACCAAGAAAGGACAATAATATCTATATGAAATTTAGATTACCGAGGTTGATCGCGAGTGGAAAAATGTCCGTATTCATTATAAAGGTTATGATTCAAAGTTTGACGAGTGGCGACCTTATGGCAAAGATCAGGAATATTTCCCCTTTATTCGCTATGAAAAGCTATACTTCCCGACGGCGACATCCTTAGAATATAGAAGCAACCATTTTACGGATATGCTTTATCGGTCAATCTGCTAGCGGTGCACTGATCAAGCATGTAAACAATACGAAAATACGCGGAGCATAATGCCTAAATTACAATATTTCGACCCTATTAGTCCGACGCGGGAATTTCATGAATATTTATGATTTTGATATCAAAATGACCGCGAAAACATTTACTTTCCAAATATGGTGGTACCTCGACGTCACAATAAATTTGGAGCTTTATACTTCCGCTTTTAACTGACTTCCGTTCAATTTTTGGCATATTTTGTAGGCAGAAATGAAATTTCAACCCCATAAGTCCGACTTCGCAAAAAGATAAATTTCGTTTAAATCCCTTGTAAAACATTACACATGTGATGCATTTTCGAATTCTGCAGGTACCTCTGTCACAAGTTTTATGCTGCGAGTGTATAAAGCAAAAAACTACAAAATTTCGGAAAATTTCTGTTGCGTCTCAACCGGAAGTGAGCGCGCCCGTGTAATGCGATAGACCTTTTGTCCTGAGTGAGTTTGATCGGTCAAATTTGTGGAAACGTCAAACCGCTAACCTGAAACCGTGGTTTGCCGAAAACGCAAATCTAAGTCCTATTAGCATAATACGACACGATAAATTGGAATCCAAAGTCAGTTTTATTTTTCAACGAGATACCCTAATTAGGTCTGCTTACTTTGTTATACCCCAGCTGACATTCGCATATAATCAATTACAGTAGCAGCACGCAGGGTTTAGTCAGTATGGACGGGGCTTC